AGAGACCCTCAGCCAGGGGTGACACCAGGAGGGGAAGGGGGTGACACGTGGGTGTGGGGGCAGAAGAGAGACAGATAAAGGAAAATGGTGCACAAAGAGAACCAGAAATGTCAAGATGAAGGGAGAGATAGGAATAAAGACAGACACAGGAAGGTTGAGACAGAGACAGAGACGGAGGGACGAGAAGAAACATCAACACGAAGAGATCCTAGGCAAAAAGAAAACTCAAGAGAGAGCCAAAAAGTAAGAACGTTCAACAGGGAAAGATAAAGGCAGGGAAAGGAGCCGGGAAGGAGATTCCCAGTGACCCAGGTGGGGACAGCCACCGCCCCCCCCATTGCACCACCAGCTGCCCACCAGGCATCCCTCACCAGTAGGGTGTCCCAATGAAAGAGAGGCGTCGAGCCAGCGTGGCCCCAATCTGGGCCGAGATACCAAAGTCAGCTGGAGGTCAAGAGAAATAGACATAGTGACCTGAGGTGCCCTATTCCCTTGGCCCCCAGTCAGTCCTCCTCCCCAGCGCCACCCACCACACTCACCCAGTCTGACCTCCCCAGCATCATTGATGAGGATGTTGGCTCCCTGGGGAGAGAGGGGGAAATGAGAGGCTGTCAGAGACACCCCCCCCCAGCCCAACGCTGCCTCCAGCCCCTGGCCCCACAGCTCCACACCACCCTAAGTCCTCCAAACACCACTTAGTCTCCTGGGCGCCCCCCCACCCCAACCACCAAGGCCACTTTTCTGCCCCAAAACCACCTTGATGTCCCGGTGTATCTTCTTCTGTGAGTGCAGATAGGCAAGTCCCTGGAAAGAGGGATGGACAGTGGGGCTGTGAGTGCCCAGAGACTGGAGCAGGGAGGAGGCAGGAGGTCCCTGCCCCACCCTGGCCCACCTGTTCTCTCCTCACCTGGAGCACTTCCCGGCAGACATAGCTAATCTGGAGCTCTGACAGGGGGCCTGTCACTGCAAAGGTCACACCAGTGGCTTTGGGTGGGAACCAGGAGAGCTGGTCCCGGGAGACTCCAGTCCCCACCCACACTGGCTGAGAGGGTGCCACATGGGGAGGGGGGAACAGATGAGACAAGTGGGAGGGGGAGATGGAGGGACAGTCAGCGACCAACGCAGGGAACCAGAGGCCAGAGGGAGATAGATTCATTCAACAGATATTTACGGTGTCCACTGGGTGCCAGGCACTGTGGTGGGCACTGGGGAGACAGCTGTGGACAAAAGACACAGAGATCCCTGCCCGTGTGGAGAGAACATTCCAGTCGGGGCCACGGACTGTAAACAACATAACTACAGCACAGCCCCCGAGATGCTAATAAATAGCAAGAAGAAAACTAAAGTGAAAAAGAATAACAGGAAATAAGTGTGGGAAGGGGGTATGACATTTTACCGGGTGGTCGGTAAAGTCTACTCTGAGAAGGTGGCAGGGTGAAGATGTGATCAGTCCAGCTCAGAGGGGAACAGAAGAGCTAGTGCAAAGGCCCAGTGGCAGAGAGGGCCCCATGGGTTCGGAAAGCGGCAAAGTGGGTGGAGCAGAGTGGGGGGTGGGGGAGAAAAGGGGTAGGAGGTGAGTCTGGCAGCTTGGGTGTAGGTGGGGGTCACCCTGGGGAGGTTGGGCTTCTCTTTGGGGGGAGTGTTCTGAGCAGGGGGTGATGGGAGTTTGCAAAATAAGAAAAGGCAAAGGAATATGGATACCGACACACACACACACACACACACACACAGATAATGAGAGAGAAACAGAAAGACAGAGAAACGGGAACAGATTCAAACTGAGACCCAAAAGCATGAAGAAAGGCTGAGAAACAGAGAGACACAGAGGTGGAGAGAGAATGATACACAACAGACAGAAGGAGTTAGAGACCAGGTCTGCTAGACCAGCTGGGTGAACCACTTCCTCTCTGAGGGCCTCAGTTTCCCCCTGGTGACCTAATGTGGAATTTCTTCTTTGTCCGACATTTGAGATCTTGGGTTCACGGAGAGAGAGAGGAGGCCAAAGACAGAGGTGGCCGTGAAAACTGGAGAGGTGATCAGAGGCCCATCCCATCCCCAAATTTTCCAGAAGAGCAAGAAGCAGGCTGAGAGAGAGAGAGAGAGAGAGAGAGAAGAAAAGAGAGTCAGGAATTCATTCACTCAGTCAATGAAAATGTGGACCCAGCTATGGGCCAAAAAATGCAGAAATACTCAAACACTGAATGGACACATTAGTGAGAAAATGCCAACAGAGGAAGATGGGAGAGGAAAACAGAGGGCATGACTGCATGCAGAGATCGGGGCTAGACTGTCAAGTGCTAAAGGGAAGGGCCCAGGGCCCACTTGGTCACCATAGTATTCCCAGAACCAACCAGGCCAGGCCTGCGCCCAGATCGGGGCTCCTCGCAGGAAATGTGGACCAGAAAGAACGTCCCAGAAGACACAACCCCAGAGAGATTGGAGGGGCGGAGGAGGGGGTGCTGCCTGGATCCCCCTTGCCCTTCCTCTCACCTTGGTAGATGTCCTGGAGAGAACCAGCCCCACAGAATTCCATGCATATCCAGAACTTCTGAAGCCTTTAATTCAAGAGTAGTAAGAACAACAGTATTCAGTCGTCACTGGTGGGTGAACCCTGGCTCACTGTCTGTCTCATTCCACCTCAACAAGAACTTTAATGTGACAGCGGTTGTCCACCAAAGAGAGATCATTCCACTTCCGTTTTATAGGTGGGTAAGTTGAGGCTCAGAGAGGAAATGAATGTTCGGGGTCAACTGGACCAAAACCCAGGTCTTTTGACTCAACCCAGCAGGACTCCTAACTCTGCTAACCGATGGTAACCCAGAAGAAAGGCCAGATATCTTCCAAGTTGGGGGCGGTTCAGGGGGACAAGGGACCCAGGGTATCAGGTCTGGGGGGACAACGATTATTACTGGGGTATCTGGGATATTAATTTAGGGGTCTGGGGATTTAGGGAATTAAGGGAGCAGAGAATGGAACAGGGGCCTGAACGGCAGGATGATGAAAAATTACTTTTAGGGGACTTGCTTTCAGGTTCGGTTACTATGAAGGGATTGCTTTTGGGGATCCCTGCTCAGAAACAGGAGTCCTGGACTGCAGATTACATCAGAGAACACTCTGGTCAGAAAAGGGGGACTTCAGACTGGGGGGGGGGCCCAGTTTAAAATGGGAGTCCAGGACTGGAGGTCAGGAATGCGGGTTCTGGGCTGGGGGCCAGGCATGGCCCCAGGGCAGGTTTGAGGCTCATCACCAGAGATAACTCCCATGGTAGGCCACGATGTTGGCATGCCGGCAAGTTTTCAAGATGAGGATTTCCTTCTGAAGTGTGGAAACATCGTCGTCTGTATGGAGGAACAGGAAAGAAAAGGCCGCTTCGGGGAGGGCCTATGGGGGAGGCATCCCAGTGTCCCAAGAGGAGGGGTCAGGGTTGGGGAGGGAGCGCGCGCGTCCTCACCAGGCTCCATCTTCACCATCTTCACTGCCACCAGGTCCCCCGTCACCTTGTCTCGAGCCTTGTGAAGGGGAAGTTGGCAGTCAGACAGGCTCCATTCGCCTGAGTTCCAACTCAGCATCCCTGAGCCCCAGCCAAGGACTGGGATCCTCTCTCATCCCCTTCCCCTCTTGGGCCTCATCCCCAGGGCTCGCTGGTCCGAGGGTGATGGAGAAGGAGGGGTGTCCTCACCTTGAAGACTTCTCCATAGGTGCCGCCACCCAGCCGCTGCAGCAGGTCATAATGATCCCGGGGGTCCCTGTTAAAGATGTCGGGATCCACGAGGTCCATCCCTGGGGGCTGGAGCTGGGCCTGCGCCCAGGGGCCAGCAGGGCCTCAGGGCTCGAGTGTGGCACCTCCCTCCCTCCCCACACGTCCTGCACCCTGCACCCGCCTTGCCTTGCCTCCACCGGCTGTGGCCTCCCCCCTCCCCACTCTCGCTTCCTGCCCCAGCACAGGGCTGTGCTGCCGGCTCCACCCCCTGTCCCCTGGGCCCTGAGAGCCTGTGAGGGGCAGCTTGCCTTGGGACCCAGGGGACCCCCCTCTTCCACCTCCAGGGCCCAGGGCAGAATGTAAACCAGATGCAAACTATCTTGTGATCTGGGGGGAGGAGGGAGGAGGGCCTGCCCTGGCACCCCCTACCGCGTCCTGGGCGGTGGCTAAAAACCACAGTTGAAACTCTGCTGAGTGTTTGAGGGTTTGGCCGCCCTCCGGAGATGGATGATAGGCCTGCCCAGGAGTGCCCATGCCCTGGACATGCCCGTTCCCTAGGGTACATATATACGCTTGGCCGTACCCACCAATGTACCCACTGTGCGCAGGCCAGTAGACGCGCACACGACTGGATACCCGTGTGCACACACGTGCTATGTGTGTGCACATACCTCCACGGATATACCACATGCTTGTGCATTCGCATCTAAAGTGTGCAGAAGGGCACTCGCCTTCTCCCCCAAGACTGGAGGGGACTGAGCGCCAGCCAGCAGGGTCCCGGAGCCCTTCAGCCCAGCCCGCCCGTGCTGAATAGAGCATCACAACCTTACGGGTCCCTAGCCCTGGGGTTGGGGAGGAGTGTGGGGACGAGGCAGAGGACCCCAGAGCTCAGGATCCTGCTTCAGAAGCCGAGGCCTGGGGCAAAGGGGACCTCAAAGGGCACTTCCCTAAGGAATCTGGCCAGGCCCAAGTTAAGGGATACTGCGCGCTCCCCAGCACGGTTTTGTGAGTTCACGACCGCGCACAACACGAAGACCGCACGCCAGTGGTGGTGGGGTCTCCCAGCCGCGGAGTTCGCACACAGGTCCCCAAGGGCCTAGGACGCGGTACGCTAGGCCCGGGAAAAGCTTCGCCCCGCCTCCTCGCCCGGAGCCGGCGCCTGCGTACTGGGCTAGATGAAGCCTTTTTTCACGCTGTGGGTCCGGGGAGGCGGGGAGCGTATGCGCACGCGTCAACTGCGCCCGCCGGGAAGAAAGTCACGTGGCGGGCGCCGCAAGCTTGGTGAAGAAGACGACGACGTAGTTTCCGTTTCCACGACCTCTTCCTCTTCCGGTCCTCGGGTACGCCGTACCGGCTGGCTCTTCGGCTCCGGCCCCGGCGTGGGAGGCGACATTCGTCATGGCGATGTTTGAGCAGATGAGAGCTAACGTGGGCAAGTTGCTCAAGGGTATCGACAGGTCTGAGCCCGGTCGGAGGGAGCGTTTCTGGCCAAGCGGCGTGGTGGAGGGGATTTTCTAGAAAGCGCAAGGGGTGATTAGCATCCTGGACTTGCCCGGGAGTAGGTTTTCCCATTCGCCCTGGAGGGGGACGTGTGTAAGGAGACGGCACTGCAGGGACCTACGGACATGAGACAGCCCTGCCTACCTCGGAGTGCTCTCGCTTTTTAGTTGCTTTAAGGTCTTTCTCTCTGCTGCTCAGCTTTCCCTCTCACAGCCCTTCAGTTTCCTGTGACACCGATTCTCAGCCTCTCACAGTGTGCTTCAGTGCCTCTTCATCTCTCTCTCTCTCTTTTTTTTTTTTCCCCTCTCATGCTGTTCATGGGACACATGTCACTGAAATCTATTCCGTCCGCGCTGGGCAGTACTGGGGACCAGAGGTGACCAGGACAGTCCCAGGCCATGCTTCCAGGGGGTTCCCAGTTCAGAGCCCAGACAAACCGGGCAGTAGGCAGTGATAGCCTGAAGTAGTCAGGGCTCGGATGGGGGAAGCTAAGCAGGAAAGGATGGGACTAAACCAGTGTGGGGGTCTGGGGCAGGGAGGAGGGGTGAGGGGCAAAGATGCCCAGAGGCCAGGTGTACAGGTTACAGTGACTGATTGGCTGAGAGGTGGTGGGATAGCCTAGAAAAGTCCCAGGAGTCTGATGGGGGGGGGTGGTTCAGAGCTTTGGTTTAGGTCTGTAACGTGGGTAAGTGTTATTAGAGGTTATAGAGCTGATTTAAGAGTAAGTGGCCAGTGCCAGAGTTCTCCCTCAGCAGCCCTGCCTCCATAAAGTGACTGGCCTCAGCTCGTTTTTCGTCTCTGTTCTCCTGTCTCAATTCTTCTATAGGTACAATCCTGAGAATCTGGCCACCCTGGAGCGGTACGTGGAGACGCAGGCGAAGGAGAACGCCTATGATCTGGAAGCCAACCTGGCTGTCCTGAAGCTGTGAGTGTCTGCCTCCACCCCCACCTCCAGGCCAGCAGCCAGCCGGGGCAGGGGGGGCACTCTCAACATTGTATGAGGCAGGATTGGGCTGGTCTTTGGGATATGGCTTCTCTTGGTGTGCAAGGCCAGGAAGCCAAGGGAGTTGGGGCAGGAGAGATGGTTTTTAAAAACTAATTAAGGGTTATATGTATAGGTTGGTACAAAACACAAAATCCTAGTTAAATAAGTACAAATGAGAACCCATGTAAACACCACACTTACAACAAAATTGAGTATTATCAGGGCCCCAGGTCCCTTGACTTGTATCCTTTGTGCCAGTCACCTCACCTCCCACCCTTGTAACCACTTTTAGGCTCTCATGATCTGGTTTTATGTGAGTTTACCACACATGCGTGTGTCCTGAGGAGCTTGGTTCAGGTTTGCCTGTGTTGAACTTGACACAAACGTAGTCCTACAGCATGAGCGTTTTGGCATCTGGCATCTTCCACTTTGCACCGGGTTTGTGAGATCGATCCATTTTTCCTGCGGCTGCAATTTTTTTTTTTTTAAGTTTTTATTTATTTATTTGACAGAGAAATCACAAGTAGACAAAGAGGCAGGCAGAGGCAGGCAGGTGGGCAGGGTCTCTGCTGAGCAGAGAGCCCGATGCGGGGCTCCATCCCAGGACTCAGAGATCACGATCTTGAGCCGAAGGTAGAGGCTCAACCCACTGAGCCACCCAGGCGCCCCCTGCGGCTGCAATTTATTGTCATTCTTGTGTAGGGCTTCCTGTGCGACTGACTAAACCACCTGTTCTCCTGTGGATGGAGACCTTTGCATTCTATCCCCCCACCCCGTGCCATATCGACATGCTGTCAGCTGTGTAATTTTTATATGTTGTCTCAGTTTGGAGGTCTATAAAATGGCGATAAGAACACTTGTGTTTGTGGGGTTGTTTAGATCGTTAGTAGCATAATTGCTCTTTAGTGAGTGCTCATGGTGCGTTAGTTTCTGTGCTCTAAGTTTTGTAGGTGTTAAGTCAGATGCCGTATTGTCTTTTTGAAGTAGACAGGGTTGTTACTGTCTCTTCTTTCGAGAGGGGGTACCGATAACAGAGAATTTCAAAGAGGTAGTCCAGGGTCACTTATGAGGCCAGAGGGAACCCAAGCAGTTTGGCTCCAGAGCCTCTACCACTGCTGCAGACTGTACTTCATATTCATTTGCTTGTGAACCACTTAACAGCATCTGGCTTTCAGGGTGGCTGGATGGATTAACCGTCCCCATCTGTGGAACAGGAAACTAGGTCAGGGAGGTTAAGGTCACAGAGCAAGTGTGCTGTGATTGGGACTGGAGCCCAGGTATGTCCAACTCCTGAGCTCTGGGCCACAGCACTGGGCCTCAGGTACCTGAAGAGGCCGCTGAGGCTCTGTCTCTTTTTCCCCTTCCCAGATACCAGTTCAACCCAGCCTTCTTTCAGACCACAGTCACTGCCCAGATCCTGCTGAAGGCCCTCACCAACCTGCCCCACACGGACTTCACACTGTGCAAGTGCATGATTGATCAGGCACACGTATCCTTCCAATGTCCGGGCGGGGTGTGCGGGGGAAGGGCTGGGGGCAAGGTAGATAAATTCCCCGGGTCAGCGGGCTGTGAATTCAGCCGCAAACTCAGAGTGCCTCCTCTGGGCTTGGTGCTGTGCTGGGTGGGACATTTGGGGGGGCCGGGACAGGCTCCCAGAGCTCACCATGCAGTGGGGGACAGAGGTCCTCTTGTCAGTGACGGCCTACAGTCTGGGCTTGGGGTTCGGAGAGGCCAGAGGAGGCACCTGATCCTGTCTGGATGTAAGGGAGGGCTTCTTGGAGGAGGGGACGTCCAAAAGATGAGCTAAATGGAGTGTTAAGGAAGGGTGATCTGGGTGGAGGTAAGGAGGTAAGAAGGCCTGGAGAAAAAAAGAAGTCAGTGGTCTTTCAGAGGCAGGAGAGGAAGTTTGATGCAGCCTCACCATGGATTGCAAAATGCAATCTGGTCAGACTCAGAAGGGCACCGGGAAGCCGTAGAAGGCTTCAACCTCAGAGTGAGGGCGCCCGAGTGGCTCAGTCGGTTAAGCGACTGCCTTCAGCTCAGTCCTGATCCTGGAGTCCCAGGATTGCATCCCAAGTCGGGCTCCTTGACAAACTTGGCAGAGTCCCTCATCCATGCTCTGGCACTCACAATCCCAATGCTGTCACACTTAACCTGCCCGTCACTTACTCAGTGAACCCGCCCTGCCAGGTGTGTCTGTGGGAGTGCCTGCCTTCTGAGATCAGCCCCCCTCCCTAGGCGTCTGTTTTGGGGGCTCTCAAAAAAAAGAAAGTAGATGTACAGTACGCTGTTAAAAGTACGAAAAGCATACAGTGGAAAGAGACAAGTCTTCCTCCTTCCCCTGCCCCACAGCCACCCTATTCCCCTGCTACAGGGCAACACTTCTTTGCCATTCTTGGGTGCCTTTCTGGAGATACCCTAGAGACGAATGAGTACAGGTGTGTGTGTTCACATATGTGTGTGTGCCCCCCCAACACACACACCAGTCCCCCACCCAGATGGTGGTCTCTTATGCGTGTTGGTCTGTGTCTTGCCTTTTCACATCCCAGTGTGTCTTGTTGCCTCTCCACGCCAGTTCTCTAAGAGGTGGCTCCTCCCAGAGTGTGGAAAGGCCAGTGTTTGGCTTCGTGGCTCTGTTGCTGGCTCGCCTGTTGTCTTAGCTGTGCTGCGGTGAATAGAAGGTGGGCAGGGAGAGGTGGCCTGGGGCTCAGTGGCAGCCCCCTGAAGCTCAGGGCTGTTTTCCCTTAACACATTCTTCTCTTAGCAAGAAGAACGGCCAATCCGACAAATTTTATACCTCGGAGACCTGCTGGAGACCTGCCACTTCCAGGCCTTCTGGGTAACTTGGCTTCGGGGCCAGGGTGGGCGGCTGGGCTGAGCTGAGCCGGGACAAGCGGCTGAAAGGAATAGCCGTGCCCATTTGCTGTCTGCTTGCATAACCGTGGGCGATCCGCTGCTCAGGGCTTTGCAAGGGTGACTGCACGGACTTGTCATCCTCACGCTGAGCCAGGACGCCCACGTTGTCCCTTGTGCCCCTGGGCTGGGGCACGTGTGCACACACCCACGTCTGTCCTTTCTCCCAAAGTCCTCCAGCCTCTGTATGCTCCTTCCCTTTCGCTCTCGAACTGGAGCCCCACCCTTCACTTCTGCCAAGGGTCCTTCTCACCATCATTCCTAGACCCGTCTCTCTCCCCCCGAAACCCCTTAGCCCTGCAGCTCAGGTGCATTGGACCCCCAAGGGGTTTAAAAAAAAAACAAAACAAAAGTGATCCTTGACTCCAGCCCCGAGTCTGACCTAATCAGTGTGTGTGTGGTCCAGGCGTTGGGATCTGAAGCAGGTGTTTCCGATGCCCAGGGAAGGTGGGGAGCCGCTGCCCGGCACCCGCCTTTAACAATAACTGCTCCCTCTTCTGCCTGTGAATGCCAGATGTTTCTACCCCCTGACCACTTCTTGCTGGATTCCCAGCTCACCCCGGGACGTCTCCAGCCTGGCATCCTTGGGCCTGACCAGCAGCCCGGGTCCTCCACTGTGCTTCGTCTGTTAGCAAAAGTCTGCATGGGAGACCATGCGAGAGGCCAGGAGAAGGCCCATCACGTCCTCGGGGTTCATCCCCTCCTAGCCCAGGGTCTCGCTGCCCAATCCCAGCTCTTCACGCCTTCTCATCCTCTCTTCTCCTTCCCTTTTCATCACGGCTAGTGCTCTTCTGCCTTGTTTTGTGGGAAAATATAAGCAGTCAAAGCAGAAGTCCCATGTGTTACTGCCCTCGGCCTCGATATCTGCTGGCAGCTGACTGAACGCTTTTCTGTTTCAGACCACCCCTCAGCTGGTGCCCTGTTCCCCTTCCCTCTTGTCCACTCAGCGCTTCTCCCTCCTCTCATAGCAGCAGGCCTGGCGTTCCCTGATTGTTTCTGTCACCAGAGACCGTGTCCACCCTCTAGTTCGTTCTTGCCTGCAGAAGAGAACTGTCGGGACACCTGGGTGGCTCAGTCAGTTAGGCATCTGCCTTCAGTTCAGGTCATGATCCCAGGATCTTGGGACCGAGCCCCGCACTGGGCTCCCTGCTCAGCGGGGAGCCAGCTTTTCCCTCTGCCTGCCGCTCCCCCTGCTTGTGCTCTCTCTCTCGCTCTGTCAAATAAATAAAAGTCTTAAAAAAAGAAGAAGAAGAAAACTCTCCCTGAACCTCCCATCTTCCCTACCACATCTACCTCTTGCCCTCTTTCTCTGTACCCCATGGAGCGGAAAGTCTCGCATCCCAGGAAACCCCTCCATGTCAGGCAGAGTGGGACCATTGGTAATGCCTCTCGTGGGCTGGGCTGCTACCCTCTCCCTGCTCACTTGAAGCCATTGTGTTCATTCCATTCAGGCGTTCGTGGCCAGCCTTCCATCTCCCGGTCTCCCACATGTGTACATGCGCATGCACGCACTGTGAAACCCACGCTGTCCGCCCTGTCGGCCACCTTTGATGGGGAGGGGAACACACTGCTCCCTCAAATCCTTTTATCATTTGGCTCCCGGAACACTTACTGTCCTGTATATCCTCTGCATTGTCCTCGTGGGTTTCTCATTTCCCACACTAATGTCACAGGGAGCCTTGCTGGGAAGGTGACTTGTGGACATAAACCTGAAGGGTGTAGGGGTGCTAGCCATGGGGAAGGAGAGTTCGAGACCCAGCACCAGCCAGTGCAGAGACCTTAAGGTGGGCGGATTTGTGGTGTGTCTGGGGAGCAGCGAGGTAGGCCCCTATGGCTGGAGCCAAGGGCTGAGTGGGAGGATGTGACGGGTGGATCCCGTGGGGCCTTGTGGGTCATGGTAGGACACTTGGCCTTTTCTCCAAGTGAGATAGGAGCAGGAGGAGGTGGGTGAGTGCAGTTAGCTAAGTTTCTATCTCTGTTCCCTCTTTGGGTCTGTGGTTTCTGCCTGCCTGGTTCAACCCCCAGCTCTCTGATTTGGGACAAGTCACTTAGCTCCTCTGAGCCTTGGTTTTTCATCACTAAAAATGGGCAGAAAATAGTAACTTATGTCATAGGGTCGCATAGAGAAGAAAGTTGGCATTTGGGGTGAATGCCCAAATCGTACCTTCTGTTGCTAACTTCATTAATGATGACGTACTTGAGGTCATTCACATTATTGGGAACATTATCCTTTCCCTCACAGCAAGCCCTGGATGAAAACATGGACCTTCTGGAAGGTATAACCGGCTTTGAAGACTCTGTCCGAAAATGTAAGTCTGTCTCGGTGCCTGGGCTCCCCAGGGGGAAGGGGTAGGGAGTGGCAGCAAGGTCCCGGGGGTGGCCCTTTACCGTCTTCATTCCTCCCCCCCCGCAGTTATCTGCCACGTTGTGGGCATCACTTACCAGCACATTGATCGCTGGCTGCTGGCCGAGATGCTCGGGGATCTGACGGGTAAGGCCTCTCTGGGTCCCCGGTGCCAGTCGAGGAGGTTAGGGGTGGTCAGGGGCCATGGTCCTCAGCCAGCTCCTCAGATGGGCCCATCCCTGCACCAGCAAGTCAGTATTGAAGGTCCCACCCAGCTCGTCACTGAAGGAGTAAGGGACTGGCACAAACATGCCCTTCCTTGGGTAGATCCTCCAGCATTCGTTTCTTTTATTCTACGTGAGTCATTTGAATGCCTGCTCAGTACCAGGCTGTCCTAGGCCTTGGGGATGTAGCCGTGAACGAGACAGAATGGCTCAGACTTGTTCTCAGGGAGGTAGCAGAACGCCAAAATGAGATGTGCAGGTGTAGCGTGCACTCACCCAAGAGCGCTCCTGAGGCTCGGGTGAGTAGTGAGTAGTTGTGGGGGTGGTTTTTTTGTTTGTTTGTTTGTTTTTTTTTTTTTTTTTAAGATTTTATGTATTTGTTTGACAGATCACAAGTAGGCAGAGGGGGAGGGGGAAGCAGGCTCCCTGCTGAGCAGAGAGCCTGATGCGATGCAGTCCCAGGACCCTGAGACCATGACCAGAGCCAAAGGCAGAGGTTTAACCCATGAGCCACTCAGGCACCCTTTTGTTTGTGTTTTCGAGATCCTTCCAGGAGCACCTGGGGTGCTCAGTCAGTTAAGCATCTGATTCTTAATCTCAGGGTTGTGAGTTCAGGCCCCTACTTTAAAATAAATGAATAAATAAATAAAAGTAAAAGATCCTTCCAGAAAAAAAAGAAGAAAAGAAGGAAAGAAAAGCGTATTTGTGTATTTGCTTGTCTTTGCAAAAAGAAACGGGAAGGAAAATAAAACTAAGGAAAATGGTTACTCCTTGGGAGGGCGGGGTGAGCACAGCGTGGGGGAGCGGGGCTTTGGGGATGAGATTTCAGTACCTTATTTGGGTAGTTTTGCCTTTTGATCTGTAGAGTGTGCGTGCTTGTGCGCTCTGTTCTTTAGCAGAAGCTAACTTTTTTCTTGGATGGTTTGTGTCAGGCTATACTAAGTGCGTTTCATCAGGTAGGTGTTTTCCATATATATTTTTTTAAGATTTTATTTATTTGACAGAGAGATTTAGATCACGAGTAGGCAGAGAACCAGGTAGAGAGAGAGGGGGAAGCAGGCTCCCTGCTGAGCAGAGAGCCCGATGTGGGGCTCAATCCCAGGACCCTGAGATCATGACCTGAGCCAAAGGCAGAGGCTTATTAACCCACTTAACCCACCCAGGCACCCTGTTTTACATATTTAAAAGGGAGACTAAGTCAAAAAGGGATCAAGCAACCCTTAGACTTGAGTCTAAAGAGAAGCAGACGAATTTTATCAGATTGCTAACAGTCCCACAGGAGTTATCTCAAGCAGCAGGTTGTCTTCTGGCCGTGCATCCTTACTGGCAGGTTTTTTAAGAGCAAAAACAGCCTGCAAAGAAATTCCAGCTGAGGTTCTGGCCTTACGGGTCGTGATAGCGAGGACGTAATTTTAAAACCATTTCCAAGTTGTGTGGAAAAGCGGAAAAGTGTACCACTGTTGTTGGAAACCAAGGTCTGCGCTGGGAGAGAAAAGCCAGGGAGAAACGCAAAGGGGAGACAGGCCCTGTGGTGTCAGGGTGGGAAAGCCAACAGGCTCCCTCTGGCTCCCTCTGGCTGCGTCTCGGAGAACAAACCATGGAAACGCAAGCACACGTGGCCTCAGGAGACACCTGTGGCCCCTGAGGCAGCCGGCAGGGGGGTGCCCCAGCCTTCGGCTCTGGTCCTGCGGGGGCGGGGTGCCTGAGCCACCCTCCCAGCCCGTGTCCCCTGCAGACAGCCAGCTGAAGGTGTGGATGAGCAAGTATGGCTGGAGCGCTGACGAGTCGGGCCAGATCTTCATCTGTAGCCAGGAGGAGAGCATCAAGCCCAAGAACATCGTGGAGAAGATTGACTTTGACAGTGAGTGGGGGCCCAAGGCCACAGGCTATGCATCTAAGGAGCTGCCCTTTGACGGGCCGGGGCTGGGGCCCCAGAAGACTTGGGTGGCTGTGGTCTGGTTCCGGGCCGGGAACTCGGCATCCGCCAGAGCCCACTGGCTTCTCTCACAGGGCTGCCTCCTGAGGGAGGTGGGGCAGGGGGCAGAGGGGTCCTTCCCTGGGACTCCTGGGGGCTCTGGTCTCTTTGCCGTCTGTCCCTGGGGATGGTGCCTTGGCCCTGGTGTCTGCAAAAACAGGGACACCAGAAAGTGTCCACGGGTTCCGGAGTCAGGTAGCTGTGTGGGGCTCTCGGTTCTTGGTTTTTTAGCTCTTCCACTTGGGGCCAGTGGTTTTACCTGTGCCTCAGTTTCCTCATCCAAAAAGTGGGGACGCTGGCAGCAGTCATTCTGACAAATATTATGTCGTTCCTGAGGCTTACTAAGTCGTTTGGTCCTCACGTGAACCCCATGTGGGAGAGGATATTATTGTATGTGACGGAACAGTATCTTAATATGCACGTCGTGGAGGTATGGGAGCAGAGTGAGGCCGTCCGTGCGGAACGCGGAGCAGAGAGCCATGGCGGCCCTCGGATGAACTGGCCCTGCTGGTCCCTCAGCCGGGAAGGGAGTGGGACAGCTGTGCAGTCAGCCCTCTGATCTGTGCACCATGCACGCGCCGAGTGAGCAAGAACCCAGGGCCAGGGGCCGGCCACTCCCTCGCGCCCTGGGTCTCCTCCCCCACCCTCGAATCTGATTCTGGGGTTGTAAAGCTGTGTCTTGGCCCAGCGTGGCTTCTCACTACAGACCAGCTCATCTGGAGCTAAACTGTGGAACAGGACTTGGTGGGCCCCTTTGCACGGGGGGCATCTAGACCCGCACTGTAAGCGAGAAGTGCCCCCCCCCGTGTTGGGTTCTGGGGAGAAGACCCTGCCGCATAGGGCTCTCTAGGGGGAGGTGCAAGGCTGGCGCTTAGCGTGTCTTGCAGGTGGCACGTGGAGAGTGTTGCTGTGACGGCGGTGAGAGGAGCAAGAACTGGCTACCGGGTGTTCTGAGCATGTCATATAGTCTTGGGGCCCTGTGGGGTCCATGCCTCGTGCAGGCGGGGAAACTGGAGTTAATGAACTTGCCTAAGGTCACCCACTTGGTACAAGGCAGAGCTGTGATTCCTACACAGACAGGTCTCCTTGCTCTAGAGTCGAGATTGGGTTTTTTTGTGTTGTTTTTTTTTTTCTTTTTAAGATTTTATTCATTTGTTTGACATAGACACGGGGAGAGAGGGAACACAAGCAGGGGGAGTGGGAGAGGGAGAAGCAGGCTTCCCGCTGAGCAGGGAGCCTGACACAGGGCTCAATCCCAAGACCCTGGGATCATGACCTGAGCAGAAGGTAGACACTAAAAGACTGAGCCACCCAGGTGCCCCCAGAGTTGAGCTTCTTTACTAGGGCCCCATACTGTCTTTGTGGGGTGCCCGGCTGGCTCAGTCTGAAGAGTGTGCGACTCTTATTCTTGGAGGTCTTGAGTTCAAGCCCCATGTTGGGGACAGAGATTACTTCAAAAAGAAACAAACAAAAAATCTGATTTTGAAGGTGATAAGGGCCCAGAAAAGTTTTGTGATTTGCCACCCCTAAAGAATTGTGGGTGCCATGGTTGGTGGCTGGAGGTTGGTTTCCCATTCTTGCCATGTTGACCTGCTCCCCTCTTCTCTTCCCAACAGGTGTGTCCAGCATCATGGCCTCCTCCCAGTAACTCGGCCAGCCGGCGTTGAATAAAGATTTGATGACTTCTTATTCCTGGTGTCTCCTGCTCATTGGCTTCCTGCCTCTGTCCCTCGCCCACCAGAGGGCGCCCGGGAGCAGGCCTCCGCCTACTCTGGGGAGCCTCCTCCCTTCTGCCTGGGGCCTCCCTCCTCCTACTTTCTCCCCTACCTCAACCCCCACCCCCAACAACGGACCTTCCACACCCACCTTCCTGACGTGTCAGGTCACCAGTCGCTAGCCGGCAGCCGTGAGTCAGCAAGGAGGAGGATGTGAATGAATAGGATGTAGGAGTCCAGCCCTGCCGCTGGGTGTGCCTGGCTCTTCTGCCTTCTGGAACAGGCAGGTGAACAGGAGTGGGTTCCTGGTGAGGGGAGGCACACCTTTGCCCTTTGGCCTGACAGGCTGGAGGAGGGAATGAGGGAGTTTTCAGTCCACCTCCTGTCCTAATGCGCAGCCTATCCTTGTGTGCCCTTGGCTTGGCAACTCTGCCTCTGTTTCTGTTTCTTCATCTGTGAAAGGGGGAGAATGACCCACCCTTGTCAGTTGTGGGAAGTCCAGGACCTCTGGCCAGTAAAGGTCTCTCATCAGGGCCTAGCCTGTTCTTGGCTCTTAGAAAACAGGAGTCATTGTTAATTTCAGATTCAAGATTCTCCCCAAGGTTCCATTGTTCGTACCCAAGATTGCAAACTAGTCCTCACCATTCTGCTTGGAGAGATTTTACAAGAAAATTGGGAATTTTAGCTAGGCCATTCACCTTCAGCCTACACCAGCCAGGAGTCATAGCTAATATTACTTGATCTGTAGCTGGGTTGGTTTATCCCTGTCTTACACAGGAAGGATTCTGGAGTCTGGCAGAGTGACCTTGGGCAAGTATCTTCTGCTCTGAGCCTGCTGTCTGCAGGAAGAAGGGGTGGCGGCAACAGCGACTGCCTTTGGGCGAAAGTGGTGGGAAAGAGATGCCATCATAGATGTCCAGCCCTTAGTGTAGCCTGGCAGGTGTCACTGAGGGAGTATTTCCTTCTCATAAACCATTACATGTGAACTTAGCCTGCGGAGAGGGCAGTGGCAGTGCCTGGCCTGTCCCCCCCCCCCCTTCCGGGTCTTCATCTGCTTGCATTCACACCCATCATTCTTTTGAGACACTGACGGAGCCAGGGCAGGGCGGGACACCCTTTGCCCTGGGTTCCAGACCTGAGCAGGAGCCAGGAAGCAGGGTGTGCCCAAGTTCCTGGGACAAAGGTGCCTCTGTGACTGACAGAGGGAGCCACCTCTAAGGGGCAGGGGAGGGGCATAGAAGGAGACAATATTGGGGTGCTTTTTGATCATCACCCCCTCTGTGTGAGTATGACTCCCGCTCACCCCCGCTTGGCAGGTGTCTTCGTGTAGATACAAATCGTACAACCGACCGTGGCTGCTCTCCAGGGAAGAGGAAATGACCTTTACCTCTTTGGGAAACCACAGCTTTTCCTGCTTAGCCTACTGCTGTTGCTCTAGGAGGATCCTTTAAGAATCTATAGAGAAAGACTTTAAGAAGCTATAGAGAAAGACTGCCTGAGGTCAAACACCAGCCTAGCGACCTTGAGGCACATTGGTTGACCTCCTTGCGCCTCAGTTTCCCAGCTAGGGTGAGCACCCACTTTAGTGCATTGGAAGAGTTGAGAACAGCCCGGCCTGTGGTAAGAGATGATACATTTACTGTCTTGCTCACTTGGGCTTGGTGGTGTTATTTCAGCTGCTTCCATAGTCCCCTCTCAACATCCGGCTATCTGTTCATGTTCCCACCCTAGGAGGACACAGCCCTGTTTAGTTCGTTTCACTAACTGGAATTAGCAATGGAATACAACAGGGACGCCGGGCTGGCTCAGCCGGTAGTATGTGTGACTCTTGATCTTGGGGTCATGAGTTCAAGCCTCACATTGGACATAGAGCATACTTAAAAAAAAAAAAAAAGAAAGGTCACAAATAACATTTGTAAATAAAGGGAGCCTTTAAACCTCACTGATGGGGGCCATCCACTTCATCTTTGAGCCCTTCGTCTGGGACGTCTTTCAGTGTCCATTGGGAGCAGGCAGGGTGGGGCCGGTGGCCCAGAGCTCCAGTGGCTCTCCCTGCCAACTAGGCCCAGCACAAAAGTCCTGGGTTGGTTCCCTAGGTCACAGACAACACTCCTGGATCTTGGGCCAGATCCTGGCATCCCCAGGGAAAATGGGCTGTGTGCAGGCCCTGTCTCCTTCCTTTGTGTGCCATTGGATCCCTTCTAGTCCTTTGAAAGAGGTGGGGAGAAATCCACGAGCTCCCATGCCTGGAGGAGCTGGGTCTTCTCATTCCCATCCCCGGTAGCTGACTGTGACCCAGTCTACTCCGTTCACACTGTGGGCCAGTTCTTGCTCTAGTCTAATTCCAACTCTTAACCTCCTTTGCTTTCTTGACTCGAGTCAAGTTCGCACTGTCCAGTCGCTCAGGTCCAAACCTTGGGAGCCATCTTGAGTCTGGATTCTTCCTTCACTCTCATGTCCACCCCCACTCCCCATCCAATTCACGACTAAGTCCTGTCAGCTCCCCTTTTCCAAATCTTTCCACTGCCCATCCTCCATGGCTCTCTCCCAGGACCCTGGTCCTGACCAGGACCATTGTGGCAGCCCTCTGGCTGGTCTCCCTGAGCTCATTCCACCTATACTCTGTTCCCCTCCCGTGGCTGCTGGAACCTGTAAACAGCGGCACTTGATCCCAGCCCTCCCCTGCTTAGGGTCCTCCCTGAAACTTCCCACTGCATTTCCAATAAAATTCAAAGTCCTCATCATGGTTTTAAGTCCATCCATTCATTCACCTAAGATATATTAAGCTGCCGTCTTGTGTAGACACTGCTTCAGAGACTAGGGAAACGGCAGTGACTCATGGACTGACATTCTTGGGAAGGAGAAAGATAAACATGGTAAACAAGCCAATCACGTAGTATGCTAAATGGTCATCTGTACTCTGGGAAAAAAAGCAAAGGAGGGAAGGTGTAAGATGTTCTTTTAACCAGGGTTAAAGTCTCCCTGAAGAGGTGATGGTCTCACTGAAGAGGTGATGTTTCTGCAGACCTGCAGGAGAGGAGTCTGTTGAAGTCCTGGGGATCCAGTATGTGGGGAAAGTGTTCAGGCCCTGGTAACAAGGTATCACCCAGTGCAAAGGCCCTGAGGCTGGAAGGTACCTGGTGTGTTTGAAGAACAGTGAGGAGGAAGTCAGCAATGTGGCAGCAGCTCAGAGACTGAGAGGGAGAGACAGAGGTGAACCGGAAGAGGAAATGGGGACAGGATGGGGGTCTGGCTGGGGCTCCAGGAGTATCTTATTTCAAAATCAGGGCTGGGCTGAGCCAAGGCAGAGAAGACTCCTTCAGCCTTTCCTCCTTTCTTTGACTTTGACTTGTACTTGGTATTGCACCAAGGAGGGGTTCTGAACGAGGAAGGAGAGAATTAGGTGAGAGATTTGAGGCTCCCTCAGGCTTCTCGTGGGAAACGGAGTGTGGTAGAGGGTTGGGAAAGGGAGCAGGGAGATGGGAAGGAGCCTGCTGCAGTGGTCCATGCGAAGACAAGGCAGGGTGGACAGGACTAGGATGGGGCCATGGAGGCAGGAGGAAATGGGTGGATTCTGCATATACTTTTTATTTTTTTATTTTACTTATTTAAGATTGATTGATTTGAGAGAGAAAATGAGCATGGTGGGGAGGGGCAGAAGGAGAGAGAGAGACCCTTAAGCTGACTCAGCACCAAATGTGGAGTCCCACTTGGGGACTAATGACTGAGATCATGACAGGAGCAACCTGGGTGGAAACCAAGAGTTGGTTGCCTAACTGCACCACCTGTATATACTTTTAAGATGGAACTGACAATTTCCTGAATTGGATGTGGGGTGTGAAGACAAAGAGGAGGCAAGGATTGACGGAAAGTCTTATTGCCCACACAGCTGGAAGGATGGAGGCCCATTAACCGAAATGAGGATGACTGTGGGGTGATCAGGTTTGGGAAGATCAAAAGCTTTGGATATTTAAATCTGAGAGGTCTCTGAACGTGGCAGTGTCATTTATCTGTATTTACTTGCTTACTTACTGTTGCCCCCCCACCATGTGAGCCACATGAGAACTAATCATGTTAGAATCACTTACCATGCTCAGGACTCTATTGCCAGTGCCCAAGAACAATGCCTGGCACACCACAGATGCTCAGTAAATGTTTGTTGAATGAAGACAGACAAGTCCCCAGACTCCTTTACCTTCCCGGTCAGCCAATATTTATTCCAATCTACCTAACTCTTGTTAGGTAGATTGGAACTCTTGTTTTGTGAATCCTTCAGGTCTGTGTCCAAATACCCGCCTTTTCTGCAAAGCCTACCCTGAGTACTGTTTGACATTCCAGCTCATGCTTAATTTTTCTCCATAACGTTTATCAGATGTTGGACTATACTTCCAAAGATTTTGTTATCTTCCTTCACTAGAACGTAGTTCCGCGAGGGCAGGGATTTCTGTCTATCTTGTTTAGTGCGGATGCGTAAGCCATGATGCGGCACACAGTCGGCAGGTCAAGGCTTGATGGCGAGACCCCCGCCTTATGAATCATTCATAACTGACCCCGCCCACACGCAGAGAACGGGCGCGCTCTCGCGGGAGAGGGGAAGCTGCTCGTACACGAGCTGAAGGGGCGGTGGGGGAAGTGAACTCTGCGCAGCCGCCAAGTTACAGAGGCGGGTCCCAGCGTCTTTCTGGTTAGGAGACGCGCGCGCGCGCGCGCGCGCGGGAGGGCGGCGGCGGTGGCGCGGTGCGCAGGCGCGGCGGGCAGTGCGCAGGCGCTGGGGGAGGGCGGGCTGAAGCAGCTGAAGCGGCGGCGGCGGCGGCGGCGGAGGCTCGGGCAGAGGGGCGGGAGCTGCGGCGGGAGCAGACGGGCTGGTGGGCGAGCGAGAGGCGGCGGAATGGTGGACTACCACGCGGCGAACCAGTCTTACCAGTACGGCCCCAGCAGCGGGGGCAATGGCGCCGGCGGCGGGGGAAGCATGGG